CCTGAAAATTCCGATGTTCATCTGGTGGAATAAGTTTTAGCAAAGAAAAGGTAGAAACGTGTTTGTCAAGTGGCTGAGATCCGATGATATACACAACAGCTGGATCGATTCCACCAAATAACTATAATGTGATCGTATGGAAAACCAGCACGAATTCAATGGATGTGGAGATCCTTTCACGTCGATCGCTAGCAAATAACAGCCATTCTAATTGACCGGATGTTATGATCAGTCAGTAGTGTTGGTATAGATAGTCAGAACGGACTCGATCCAACACATCAGTTTGAGAGCAATGAGTATTGACTTTGGGTATTTGTCTTGTGAAGTGTTTCTTGTAAACGGTAGTACTAATTCATCGGCAATCTTGGGTTCAGTTCAGTCCTGGCATCATCCTGAAGAAACCTTACTATCTAGCGAGATTTCCGTTCTCTACATATGAATTGGCCACCTTCATCGATTTGCTGTATAAGAGATATGAGTTTATGAAATCTCCTACTTTGACTTTGACAAAATTGACTGAACAAGAATTGGAGTATTTCCAGTAGAATGTCTCATCGAATATACCGATCCTTGTGACCTTTTATTGGTATGGCATGAACTTTCCCAAAACAATCGCTGCAACTCCAACCTACGAATCAGGCTGCCGTGCTCCATTCATCATAATCGACCTGATTGGAATGACCATCTGGACGGACCACCATCTTATCAAGAAAAATGCTATCATTGTTGAAAAGTGTAACTTGGATAAATAGATCATTATGATATATCAATGTTCCCATTTCCTTCCACCCCATACGTCATCTCTCAATCGTCAGCTGTCAAACGTCATGCAATTGTCCAAGCAAGGCTAGCATATCGTCATTATAGCAATATCCAAATTTTTCTTAACGTCTGGCAACATTGTAGCCTTCTCGACTTCTATAATGATAATTACCTAATATGTGACCCTCATCAGCAGAAGGCCCATCCGGTGCTACAAGTATTGTTGTCGATAATACTAACATAGAAATATTTTACCTTAATTTTATTTCGTTGTGATTAAATGATGTCTCATCTCTGGTACGGATCTCTCGCTTCACTCAAGAGTGTGTCGACCTTTCAACTTCTACATATTCCGTTTGGATAACATCGAAATATTCGAAATATTATGGAGGTCTGAATACCATAGTGCATATACAGTGTGTCCCACTTACCATGCTCACCATGGGTATCTTTTTAACGGTGAGAGATACGAAGTCGATTAAATGACACCAAATGTGGAGTTGGTCAAGGCCAACTATAATGTAAAAAAATATTTTGATAAAATCTATTCGTTTTTGTTTTATACGCAAAAAACAGATTTTGATCATTTTCATGTCTCCTCCGTAACTTCTTTATTTATGAAAATATTCGAATAGGAATTTCACATTCTCATAGCAGTTTTTCAAAGTGATTTCGAAAGAAATATGAAATTTATACCAACTCTTCTCGAATTTGAGATATCAGCACCAACTTTAGTTCATCAAATGTAGGTCATAGCTCACTATGACTTAGTTACGAATAGTTTTTTTTTCTCTTTCAGATGATGCGTTGCAGTAATAGTTTTGTGTTGATAACAACGGAGTTATCGTCATTTATACAAAAACAAAAAAATTGTTGGAAGCCGCCATCTTTAATTTATACATTTCAACAATAAAATCATGATCTCCGACCTCAAAAACCCCCACTTACCAATTTTGAATGGAATCGGACCAAATCTTGTCCGCCATCTTGGAGCAGCCATTATTTTTAATTTCAACAAAAATTCCATAATGTATTGTCACCGAAATTATAAACACCTGCCAAATTTCAAGTTAATCGCAGTTATGGAATCTTTGTGGAAATTTGAAAAAATGGCTGCTCCAAGATGGCGGACAAGATTTGGTCCGATTCCAGTCAAAATTGGTAAGTGAGGGTTTTTGAGGTCGGAGATCATGATTTTTTTGTTAAAAGTTATAAATTCAAGATGGCGGCTTCCAAATAATTTCATGTTTTTGTATAAATGACGAAAACTCCGTTATTATCAACACAAAACTATTACTGCGACACATCATCTGTAAGAGAAAAAAAAGCTATTTGTAACTAAGTCATAGTGAGCTATGACCTACATTTGAAAAACTGGTGCTGATATCTAAAATTCTAGAAGAGTTGGTATAAATTTCATATTTTTTTCGAAATCACTTCGAAAAACTGCCAAGAAAATGTGAAATTCCTATTTGAATATCTTCATAAATAAAGAAGTTACGGAGGAGACATGAAAATGATCGAAATCTGTTTTTTGCGTATAAAACAAAAACGAATAGATTTTATCAAAATATTTTTTCACATTGAAGTTGGCCTTGACAAACTCCACATTTGGTGTAATTTAACCGACCTCGTATCTCTCATCGTTAAAAAGATACCCATGGTGAGCATGGTAAGTGGGACACACTGTATACGCTGCCTCATAATGCAAAGATCCCTGGTGAGATGACGTCGCTTGAATAGTTCGAATTTCGCGCGGGTTCTGATTGTTTTAGTGGGTCCGATTCCAGTCAAAATTGGTAAGTGAGGGTTTTTGAGGTCGGAGATCATGATTTTTTTGTTAAAAGTTATAAATTCGAGATGGCGGCTTCCAAATAATTTTAATGATGTGATTTGGTGTCATGAAGGATTTGATGTCATGAAGGTCTTGGGATTGTGAAATGTATTTTTCAAATACTCCCATATTCACCTTGATGGTGTGGTTAATCGAGATTATATCATTCAATAGAGATATCATGGTCGCCTTATTTTCATTAGGAAACGCAGTGTAATTCAATACACCAGTTCTGCATCCCAATCGATAGCTTAAAATGCGGTATCTGAACGCATTCACAATTACATATTCTCTGTCCCTATAATTGACGCAAGCTTTTGTACGATGCTGCGATGTCATTTTATGAGCGCCCATTTGATCGGCTGGAATAGCCTTATTGCAAACAGAACATGTCTGCAGATTCCCAGAAGTTGCTGCTTGTTGAGTGCCATCTCCCAGTCTTCTTTGCAATCGATGGACTGGAATTTCTCACACATGCAACCCGTTGATAGCGCCGTAGATTGTCACTACGTGTGAAACGGTTAGCGCACACACTGAAAACTAACATATTGTTCAGATAACTCATTACTCATAAAGAACTATTCAACCTATTGTTGGATGATAGGATTGAGAGGGAACTGTGCTCTCATGGACACAGCTATTGGGTTTCTATAAGAGGGAGTCATGACGTGACACAGCACTTCAAAACGATCTCTACCAGCTTACTCCCATTTTCAAGGTCACTCACGCTGTCACTTCTTTTTCAGGTCGAGGGTTCTCCACAACTCAAGGTCGCTTTCTCCGAAGGCCAGCAGAGGTTATCCGTACAACCTCCCTCTTCAAGGTCACTCTATTTCGCCTCAAGATGACCTCCGTTCAAGGTCGCACTATCGAAACTTCACTCTACGAGTGCAATCTGCTTGAAGCCACTACACCCAATGTCACTCCCGTCCAAGGTCATTCCGACCATGGTCGGAGGACAGTGAGCTCGGGCGGAGAGCCAGAAACGGTGAATCCTATCTACTACTATGCTCTTGAGAAAAAGTAAGGGCATATCCATGGAATGATTTATTCGAATTCATTTCCATTCAATATCGTTATTCTTGATTTCATTATTCAGTTTCATGATATCATTAATTGTGAAATATCTACGGATTATATTTACTCGAGAACGACCCTTCTTGAGTTGTATGTCTTTCGGGTAAGAATTCCCAGAGTCTTTCATAAAGTTGACATCATATGGAAACATTTTAAATATTGATTCATATCGAAACTCGACTTTCACGTTAAGGTTCACTTCAAAAAAATTTGAAATGGCCTACTCGGTCGGAGTCACGTGAATGTCACTACATGTCGAGAGTTAAATTTTCCACTTGAAAAAGTTGTTCACCTCTCAATTTTACAAATGTGTCTCGAGTTCTAACGTTTTTCAACTCTAACAAAACTGTCCTGAACTTTGGTTAGATACGTAAAGTAGTTTTATGATAGTCTTATGGATGATTTTGGCATCATTTCAATACTGAAAATGTCCATTTGAATGAATTTCGCTTCTGGATGTTAGACGATATATCAACTCTGCATCAAACATAAACAAATTTGAAGCTGAGATCATCATTTTTCTGAACACAATCATATTTTTGTCGATTCCTAATAACTGAAAGTTACACTAAAAAATGATTAATTGAATCAACAAAATATTCTGTCCGATATACACGACGAAATATCTTGTTACTGCAACATTTTTCATTGTTGCATCAACAAATATTTCGATACTTGAACTCGTTCATCTCCTTTTTATGCTCAATTTTCTGTCAAAGTGACAACATCTTCGTTGTATTAACAAAATAATTTGTCGTGGATATGGGACTAAATATTTTTTAATCCAACTGATTTTTATTCTGTGTAGTAGCATCATGATACTACTTGTGAGTTACAGTTTCCTTGGTGATAGATTCACTTCGATAATATCAGAGACAATAATTGAACAAATATCAAACACTGAAAAATGCAATAGCTAGTTAAAATTCGAGCAACATGTGTGAAATTAGAGTGAAAACAGCATTCCCTGATGCACTTTTTTGAAATTCAAACAAATAAGCATATTTCCAGCGATCAATTTGAAGAATATACCTTTCGACAAGTGGCATTAGTCACGTGACCTCGACTTAGAAGGCCATTTCATATTCTTCAATGCAAAACTTAACGCCCAGGTCGAGTTTTTCAATAAATTTTCTTAACATTTATTAGTCATATGATAGCAACTTCATATGAAAGCCGATGAGATTCCGTAATATGACAACAATGTATGTATTTTGCACTTTTATATGAAATTTTGGTTGGACCTTGCCTATCAATTTGCAGGCTCGACTCGATTTTATGATCATTGGTATATTGATGACTATTATATGTGGATGTTTATATTTACCTTCAAGGGTTGAATATACCACTAGCATATCAGGTGCTAAGTGTTCGGTTTTGAATGCTGAATATGGCACAATATTGGGAGTTTCTATACCTTCAGAAGATGTTCCCGTTGTAGTGAACTTGTCACCCTTGCATGCCTGAAAATGAATCGAAATATAAAGAATATAATCATGTATCCTCTCAAACAAAACTGCGGAGATTCAAGTTAATTCAAATAACAAGAAGTTCGATCGACGTGAAATTCCATTGGGGAAACTTGAGATATTCGTATCAATTCTAATGAAGCTTCAGATATGGAGTGTGTAGAGGAGGTTTCATCTCTTCCAAAATTCAATTATGGATAATTTGAATGAAATGATATTTCATGCGACGAAAGAATTGGTACTCCTCATTCGTAGCATCAACTGTATCAAGATTTCTCAACTATATGAAATTCATCTGATGAAATTATCCAAATTTCATCTGTGGAATAGTCCACGTTTCATATTTTATCGTAGAACCAAAGTTATCGACATAAACGACAATTCTTGAGAGAGTGCGAATAATTTAATTTTATCGCTGTGGGTTCTATAGACATCTTCAATGATTGTTGGAAAGTCGAGCAAGGCTCTGAAATTCGTACCTCTTTGTAGCTTTGAGAAGGCACAGTCAAAAAACTCAACTGAAAGTTGACTGCTAACTATATTGGCAGCACACAAAATGGCCGTATATTTGTTGATGATTCCGCTACTGATTTGGATTTCTTCGTGAATACTGGTGCAGATTTTCCTGGTATTTTATAGAAGAAAAATCTGGTTATCAACCAATGAATTACTTCACGCTGCGAACGGAACAAAAATCGAACCATTTAGGGAAGAAACTCTCGATTTCACACTGGAGTTTGAAAGACATTTCATTTTGACATCAATTATGGCTGATGTCGATCCTGCTTCCCTTGGAGCTGACTTCCTTGATCACTCTGGAATTGTGGTAGATTCACAAAGGAGAGAGATTTAATGTAGATTTTGGAACAAATGCTTCGAAATTTTGCAAGTATCACGAATTGTCAGATTTTTCAGTTTGAATATAATAAGCATCATTTTTCTTCACAATAAAATTTTCTCTGAATGCCTTAACCTCACTAGGAATTTTCTGAATGGAAAAGTTGCAAAAAACAATATTTTTCACCAAATTGTAACAGAAAGACAAATGGTTAAAAGTGAAGTGGGGCCACTCAATGCTGAAAAAATTGCAGATGCTAAAAACTGTTTCGACTATCTACTTATATAAGGTATAATCAAACCCTCTGAGAGTCCATGAGCGACTCCGTTACATATGGTTGAAAAATCTATTGGAGATTGGCGTGACGATTATCATTTCCCAAATGCGCAGTTTATTTCAGACAGATATCCCGTTTTCACCGTCAATGAATATTCTCCTCAGTTGGAGAGCAATACTATTGCTCTCCAGCGCAGTTCGGTACCATCTGCGAGCTACCGAGAGCCTGAGCCCGAATAACTGCACCAACCGATAACCACTGAGGAGATTCGAGAAGCCCTCAAAGGCTCCAAGAACTTTGCTGCTCCTGGTCCCGTCTGGATCAATAACTTCTGGTGGAGAAAATATTCCTCTACCCATCACCATTTGGCCAGGATATTCAGTGGTTTATTGAGGGGCGATCCGTGCTTCTACCCAAGACTGGAGATCTTTCCAATCCAAAGAATCAAAGACCAATTACCTGCCTGAATGCATGTTACAAGTTTTTCACACGCATCTTGTACATGCGAGTATTCCTAGTAGTTGATCCGGTTAACTAGCGGATTTTTGAGGAGCGTGGGTCGAAGAAAGGTGTCGCTGGCTGCAAGGAGAACCTGTTGATAGATAGATCCATTACACAGGACCCCGTGCAGTACTAGCGGAATCTTTCTGTGGCCTGGATCGATTACCGAAAGGCATTTGTCACAACGTCACATGAGTTACTCGTGTACTTACTCAAGTGTCTTTCGGTACCCGATTCTATAGTGACATACATAGAAAAACTGATTCTGCTCTGAAAGACCTACTTCACTATAAAATCAGGTTTCGCGAGAATCCAAACAGAGCCAGTCATCATAAGGAGACGAGTATTTCAAGGGGTCTTCCTTAGCCCTCTCCTATTCTGCATCTCACTTCTGTCAATATTCGTTGAGTTCAGGAAAACCTGGGAATACAACTGCGGCTCACCCAGTTAGGCATAAGGTTATCCACTTATTCTATGTGGATGACCTCAAACTTCATGCCTCTGGTGAAAGGGATATGGACCAATCCCTCAGGGTGGTGCAGGAGTACACTCAGGCAATTGGAATGGAATTCGGAATGGACAAATGTGCACTGGATCATATCAAGAGAGGACGATGCGAGAACTACAACAAGGACGCACAGCTCGTGGACGGAAGCATCCTACACCATCTGGATGTCGGACACCTACCTGGGTGTAGAGGAAACTCATATCCAGCAGGCACAACGGGTGAAAGACAGTATCAGCAAGTATCGGCAGCGGCTTCGACAGATCTGGTCATCAGAACTGTCAGAAAAGAACAAAGTCGCTGGAGTGATAAAGTGGACTCAAGTCGAGCTGCGACAATTTGGCGTAGGTACTCACAAGATGATGCATCTCTATAGGAGTCTGCATCCAAATTCGTTCCACGGTCATACATACCTAGAGACCAGGGTGGCCGTGGACTCTTGAGCTTGGAGTATCTCCATAACAGAATGGTTCTGGATGGTGTCTGCAAAGTCATCAAGAATTCGGATTCTCTCCTGCAAATGGTTAAAAACCATGAAGAGGCAGGAGTAGAAGCTTTCCTCTTTAGGGCAGCGCGTCGAGCAGCCGATGAATTGTCTCTGATTTTCGACTCCGAGCGCGAGGCTCAGGACTCAGTTACTGAGCTAGATCCTGCTCGGAGAAGCCCAGGCATTTGGTCTACTTCAAGACCATTGAAGACCAGGGCTCATCCAAAGAACTGACTTTCGCTTTTCTCAAGTCAGGCGGGCTTGAATCGGGAAGAGAGGGGTTCATCAAAGCATGCCGGGATGAGGTTTTCAACAGTCCCGTCTACCGTAGCCGTGTCATGGGTATGGAGGTTCCTGACACAATTTGCAGGGATTGCCGCAGGGCGCCCGAGACAATTATGCACCTGCTATCCTCTTGCACGGTGTATGCAGTCTCGGCCTATATCCATAAACACGATGAGGCATTGCAAGTGTTCTACTACCATTTGGGGTACTCGTACGGAATAGACGAGACCCCAGTGCTGCTTTCTGCTCCGGGGGATATTGAGTTCATTGTGGAGTATAAGAGATGCCGAATTTATTGGAATTTTCCATTCCCACCCTCAGGCAAATACAAGCTAACAAGCCTGATGTAGTCCTCCTCGACCATCAAACCGAAGCGATGTTCGTGATCCAGTTTTCGGCGCCAGCCGGACCGAACATCGTTTTGAAGGAGGAGGAGAAACGGACTAAATATCGAGATCTTCTCTTCGAACTCCGCCGGCTCTATCCAGACCATCCTGTGGAATTGGTCATCCTGATAATCGGCTCCCTAGGAGGAAAACGACATACGTTGCTCTCGGAAATCCAAAAAATCCATGCGTACAGTGATAAGACACACATCCTGGCTGGTGGAATGCAGAAGGCCGTCTTACTAGGATCATTGCGTTTACTCAGGGCACACGGTTCTTGGTCCCAGTAATTTTTCACCCCACAGGCTGTGGGGAGTAGTCACTGGATTTTATCCAGCACGACTCTGTGTGGCGTCGGAGGTCGCCGGGTCGTGACTGGAATTATATGAATCCAAATGATAATAATGATAATAATGATAATAATCATGATAATGGTCTTCATTTATCAGTTACAAATTACAAATCACAAATTGCATCAAGATTGGGTATGTTCGATATTGCATTGCATTGATGAAGAGCGAAGTTCAGCCTAAGCCGTTTTTCAACTTAACGTTGATCTCAATGGCACTTGAAGATACTGAGGAAAAACGGTAGTCATTACACCTTTGGGACTTCTCGAATACGTCAGAATGCCTATTGGTTTGAAGCCCAGAGATACGTTCACCAAATTACTAATGCTTTCGAATTTTGGTTTCCGTACATGGATGATCTCTCGGTAGCTTTCAAGAACAGAAGGGAACACAAAATTTATCTCAGGATGCTGTTTTACCACAGTCCTTCAGATGATCTCTCACTACTGTGGAAAGATGGTATTCCATTGTCTATTGAATCTTCCCAACATGTTTCCTGAATGCGGAGTGGTTTGAGTCTCATAAATTCCCATCAACTCGAAAACTTTCTTGAAAAGGTTTGACTTTGAATTTCCTGCGGATCCGGAATGAAGTTCTATTGGTACTTTCGATCTTGTGAACATGTTGTTCACCAATTACCTAGCAACGGTGAGAGCTTTCTTGTTAGGCATCGGTGGAAGCTTCCTGGTTAGGCATCGGATATGTATCAACCAATTTTCTGAAATAGTATATATCCAGAATGGTCCAGCTACATCGATGGCAATTCGTTTGAGAGGGACGCCTACATTGTATTGCTTAATCTCTCTTCTTGATGTCGTCTTTGGACCTTCTCCGCACACTGGAGTTTCCTTGCACCAGCTTTCTCTGGATGTCCTCTCTGACCTCTAATCGGCTTACCCACATAATCGTTTCACCGAGCCATTCTCCATAACCAGAAAATCCCACTGTGCCCACATAACCACACAATTGGTGCCTTTGTCTGAGTTGTCCTTCCAGGAGAATCAATCTGCTCCTGCCTCTTTCCAACGTAGAAAGTCTTCGATATTCAGGTCCTTCTCTTGGTCCTGCCGTATACTTGTTGCTGCCCATTCATCATCCCTGTTCACACTATCAATTCTTGCCTACGATCAGTGGTCACTATCACATCCATGTCAATTCCTTCATTGACATCAATACTCAGTTCCGTCAAAAATATTGTTGGGGTTCAAGTATTTTTCAGACTGAATAAGGTTGAGGTCCCTCGTTCTCTCCTTCGGACCTTGAATTTCGCAATAAGTCATTGTGGTAGTTATATTTTAAATGTATATCTGTTCTCACTACCCTCGTACCATTTTGTACATTCTTGACGATAAAGTTATCTTCATT